CTTGAACGGAGTTGATTCTTTTGGACATGTAGTCTACATTTTAAGATGTGAATCTTACCTGTGCTGTCCACTCGGTTTGCTTTTTGTTTAATCAATTGTGAATTTTTTATTCTGCCTGAACAAAAATTCCCCGTATCTCCTTCTTATTCAATAAGAGACAGTGGCCGCCTCTACGAAGCGTTCAGCGATCAATCGAATAGGAGAATGTGTTTGAACGTCTCAAGTTTCACTTGTGTGTAACGTCCTCACAGTTTACGCCACGCGCTTGTCAACAGAGACCCATCGAAACTGAATTGCTTTGGTGATTTGAAAATGGTTCGCATCGTCGATGGATTTTCTAATATGCACCATGTTTTTTGTTTGCTGTTCCAATTTTATAGATCAAGCAATTTCAATAGACGGCAGTCGTTTCACTTGACATGCCTGAACGATTCAAATATTTTTGGAAATGTGACGACGAAAAGTAGGGTGTCTAATTCCTCAGGTATGCGCCACACATTCGACATTCGCTCAGATTGTCCAATAGGTTTGAAAGCTTAATTAGTTCGTACTTGTAGCTGGAGATTCTTTAATAATAGTCTCAATTTTATCACTCTCGAAAGAGGAGCGCTCTGATCAGAAAGTATTTTAGCTCGAGACTTTTCAAATGGTGGCATCATCGTGGCAATCCTATCGTGCTCGTAACACCTACTTCGTGACTATACTTCGGTCAATGCAAGGCATCTGACAGACGGCACTTCGTGATCGAATGAAAAACTGCCGGTGGATATGCTGCCGGAACAGCTGAATTTACGAAGGGTTCCTTGATCGAGAGTCGATAAAGGGGATTTATATCTAATGGAAGACAGACGGGTGCTTCCGTAATGCTGCGTAGCTCATGCATGAGAATATGTGTGCCCTGCGGCCTAGGAAGGCCATACCCATGCCGCTCGAGCCTCGGCACACCCGCTGATAAGATACTGGCCATTTGGTCGAGACGCAGAGCAGTCATGCAGATGACATGGATGCGTTTCTACTCCTCCTCGGGTCAGGTCACCTCAAATTGAACAATACGGACTCATTCGCTCTAATCAAGCATGGGTCTAAACTCAGACTCCATCTAGGCTTAAGCACAGCCGTGTAAGCATAAGCCTAAGCCGAGCCAAGCACAACCTTAAGTTCCAATGATCGTGCAGCTTTGACCAGACTTAGGAGGAGAACTGAACGTCTCTCAGATGACATAAGCACTGATGAGACTTGCTCCAACGCGGAAATCTATGAGCAAAATCGCGATCCCTTCCCTCGAGATCTGAGCCGTTTCCTTGTTTTTCCTTTAACTCTGCCGAATTGAGCACCTCCTCAACCATGATTTCCAATGGCCTGCCTTTTTTATCGTGAGAACTGCTTTCAAGCATTTTTTTCTTGAGCTAAGTTTTTAAGATTACCTTAAGCTCCTCTTCAAACAGCGGCCCGCAGACGTCTAAAGGATAATGTAGTTTTCCGGTTCGATAATAATTTAAAATCTGTGAGAAAACACCAGGATGTCGATCGAAAAAGTACTCGTTTAGAACCGGGTCGTAGTTGGCAAGATTGGTCGTCAATCGTGATAGCCTAAAAGTTCAAATAAAAACGAGTAAGTTGAATTTCTGAAAGATCCAGTGACTGAAATCTGTTTTTAGCAGCATCTAGCATTGAGTATAAAGCCTATGGGATGGAAATAACTACACAGCAACAACCATAAGCACCTTCCTCTCTTCATTTCTTGTGAAGGGTCTCAAAAGAGCGCATATAGGTGTCAGTCATGAAGCCAACTTACGGCGAATTAGTACATCCCGTTTGGATACGGTGACATTAGGAAAAATTTGGGCGTGGAATACGGAAATTGTAACGAGTGTCACAGAGGCAGTGGAAAGTGGGAGGATAACTAGTTCTGAATCCGTTAGGTTTTCGATTTGCGACACATGAAACGTACAGGACCAGGAACTAATGAGAACCATTTGTCTACCGAACCAAACGAAGAGATCGTATTTTACGATTCTGTGATGGAGTTTGATTTGGAAATCTTCGGGGTATCTGGAATCAACCAATTGCCACGATAGACCCCGCCATGTACCATTTGAAACGATAGCTGTTGTCAGCCTCAATCCATGGTATCTCACCGATCTTTAGAGGATGTACCCTCCCTTTCAAAAACGAGAAAAGCGTCGGGTGCAGACCATACACCACAAGTGACGACGGCCTCCACAAAATGTAAATGTTTTCTGCCAATGAAATGAGCCTGTTGCAGTTGTATTCTATCAGTTGTCACTAATTACAACTATCATTTACCAAAAATCAGCTATCACTATGAACCACTACTAACCAGATTTACTTGGAGGCCGTCGTCACTTGTGGTGTATGGTCTGCACCCGACGCTCTTCTCGTTTTTTGAAAGGGAGGGTAATTACTCGCAAAGAACGTCTTATTGGAAAAGATATCCGAAAATTCTGCTTCATTACTTTAATTCATTAAAAAAATCGGGAAAAAATGAAAAAATACCTCGTGGCCGGTATCTTTTTCAAAGTGTGTTTGTATGTCTCGTGCCTAACACCGCCAACATTAAGTATTATCCTATATTCGGAGTCCATAACGGCGTTCCTGAAAGATCGATATGAAGAATGAAGACAAACAAGAAAAGGGTCGAGTTTTGTGGAACGAGCATGAATTTGACCTCAATGTCAAATCGTAAATATCAGTCACAAAGTTGCTTGATTATTTATGGGTCTTTAGATGAATAAGAATAAATAGATGAATAATTTGATTTATCTCTTGAAAAGCTACTTCTGACACAATTGAAGTGAAATCATAAAGTTGCTGTTCCATCTATACCGCAATGATCCGACAGTGAACTATCTGTATTTGGGCTGCGCCACAAACTCCATGTAGAGTAGCGGTCAAAAGTAATCGCCGAAACGATTTTCAGTGTTTTTTTTGTTTGTGTGCCACACAGGTTTTTTACGGTGGAATCTTTATTGAGCCTGACGTTTCGACTATATCGTCGTTCCTCAAAGGCCTGAAAGCGTTTTGAAAACTCAAATGTTACCTATCCGCTCATATGGATCCACATTTGACCAACGTCATGCAGTGCACGTGCGCTCTTTATAAGCAGTGCACGACTGGTTGTCTCA